GAGAGAGAGAGAGAGAGAGAGAGAGAGAGAGAGAGAGAGAGAGAGAGAGAGAGAGAGATGGTGTATTCCTTTCACCGTAACTGACCAGTTCACCGTCAAAAAATCGTGTCAAAAAAATCAAAAGAATTCCACGTGTGTTATGATGATTATCATTATGTCTCAGTATGTCTTTATACGGAGAAATATTTACTTTAACGTCAGGTTCCCCCGAGAACATAGCTCATACTGCAAACCAACGAGAATCATTCTTACACATGTGTATTTGTGTGTTAGAACACCAGGATTTTTCTTAGGGTACGGATAGTAAAAAACTCCGTCTGCCTGAGCTTATTTTCGTCACAGAAAAGTTGAGAAGATTTTAAGTAAGGGTATTAAAAAAATAAAGGAAAGCTACAACGCTATTTTTCCTCGAGCAATAATAATAATAATAATAATAATAATAATAATAATAATAATAATAATAATAATAATAATAATTTTTGACAATATGTATTATTCGTATTCGTGCAAAAAAGTCATACGACTTGCACAAACTGATCAAAAAGGCGAGTCTCATCGATTTACCTTTTAACCTAAAAAACCGTTTACGGTTACTTGTTTACAATATCAGATTGCAAATATGGTTCACTGTATCGAAAGCATTCTGTCGAAGACTGCCATCTAACACAGTTCGTGGCGAGTTTTTATCTTTTCGCTTTCATTATATATCAGGTCAAACCAAGTTGCGCGCCCGAGTGAGTGTTTTAGCTCTTCCAGAAGCCAATAAACATATTCAAATATATAACTTTTACAAGTTTTCTATACTAACGAATCAATATTATATAAATTGTTTACGTTATAAATATTAACTATAAGTTAACAGATAAAAATACATTTTATATTCAGCATAAACGAAATTTCTATATAAGGAAACCTCAAGTTGGCTTGGCACTCACACCTGTAGCCCCCTCCACCCACAGAGAAAATTCCTGAGTGCGCCTTGCATGTAGCTAAATATCTGTTAACGAATGCAGTGGCACTACCGAATCACTGGCCATTTACGTTCAAATTTAAAACGGGTATGTTTAGAAAAAAGTTGTGTTCATTCTTTAGGTTTTATTGTTTTTCAGATTTGTGATTTTAATCACGTGAAAATTAAAAGTAATTTCGTTTACTTTTCTTCTTTTCCATTGTTTGATTTGATTAATAGTTGTAGTAAATTTATTGAATTAAGACTTTTTAAATGTAATTGTTCTTCTTGCTAATATTATTTCAGAATGAGTGATCCTTCACTCATAAAGTGCAAACGTGGTAAAGTAATCCGTAGTGGGGAAACATAAATGTGAGTGCGCTCAAAGGTGTTTATAGTTGTTGTTATTATTATTCTGCTTACGCCGACTGAACCCGGGAACAATATTCTATTCATTTCCATTGCAAGTTCATTTTATGCCCGCTGTAAGTTTATAACGAACGAAGGACACACATTTTAAATTTAGTTCAAAATAACACCCGGACGACTTACAGGATTTTCCAATGAGGCTCCTTCTCTTGCTTTTTTCCCGAGTGCAACGTGGCTTTTGCTCCTTTGAATAGCTCCACTTGCTAATTGCTCCGCATAAATGCCCCATATTTCTACTTCCTTTACTAAACAGCCCCATCATGTCCACTTTGAAGTGCTCCACAGTGTCGTGTTCACCTCTTAAGTACACCATTATGACGCTTACCCTATTTAGTGCCCCATCGCGATGACTGCTCGTATAAAGTGCACCATCGTGATGCTTATGCGCTTGACATACCCCATGGTGATGCTTAATCGCTTGATGTACCCCATCGTGATGCTGCATGCGAGAGCATGAAGTGTACCATCGTGACGCTTGCTCGCATGAAGTACCCCATCATAATGCTTGCTCGTGTGAAGTGCCCCATCATAATGCTTGCTAGCATGAAGTGCGCCCCGCCGCCTGTGGCCTCCGCTGCCCCCGGTTCAGCTCCGCGGCGAAAGTGCCGAGGGCTACCATCTGCCCGACTCCCCACACCAGGAAGGCGGGCACCAGGTCCAGCAGGCGAAAGGCGAACGGCATCGCTTCGACCGCCGTATCCTGGACCAGAGACTCGTTGAGAATCTTGAGGTACAGGAAGCGCACGCTTCGCTCGCCCATCACCTGCCATTGATCCATCAGCCCCGCAGACTTCAGCTTCATTATCAGCACGTTCGTTCTGTCCACCCACG